CACGCTCGAGCGATGCTTTCCCCGCTCGAGCGAACATGCCGAATTTTGGAATTTCCCAAAATTGCATTTGAAGCCCAAACTGAGCATTCAAAGGGTCTAAAACTCATGTTCTTGATACAAAATTATGGAAATCTGTATACAAAATTGAGTCTAATTTGTCCAAAATCACAATTCAATTCCCAAATTATTTCACATTTTTCTTGACAACCCATACTAGCTTCATATCTTTAAAACTCGTGCAAATTAATTTCCATATCACTTTGAATTTCACATGCAAATTAATTTCCATATCACTTTGAATTTCATATGCATGTGAGATATAGGCTTCATTTTCAACTTAAATAACACAATTGATGCTCATCTTCATCAAACATGATCAATTTTAAATCAATTACATCAAAACTCCTTTAATTTACAAATTAAGTTCTTTGTTCATAAATTCATAATTTTCCAAAGCTTAGTTCTTATTTCATCAAAACATGAATTCAATTCCAAGAAATCTATGATGCATGTAAATTTACAATATCCATAAGAAAGGTTCAATCTCTAATTTTTAACATAATTTTCAAACACTTCCAAAATCCAATTAAATTTGTATATATATAATTCAACCTCTCAATTTCATTATTCTACTTTCAATTTGGGCAAAATCATTAATTATCATCATGAATCAACTTAGGGTTTTCAAGAAAAATCAAGACTTTCAAGAAAAATTAAAACTTCTCACACCACTTTTTTTTATTACAATTTTCCCATTGATTATACATCCAAGGTTTATAATCCATAATCTTAACCCAACAATTGAATCCCAACACTTCAAACCCTAAACCTCCAATTTCCATGATATAACACTATATGCTCAAAAAATGTAGATTTTGCATTTATATGATCAAAATAACACAAATCTATCTATTAATGCAAGTATTGAAGAAGAACTAGGGGCCCTACCTCAAGAATCAAGCAATAGAGCAAAGTTCCAAGAAGAATCCTTCGCCAATCCGAAATCCAATCGGTTGAAAAGTGAGATCTTCAAGCCTTCTTCACTTATTGCACTGCTGGAAATAGGGGTTTTAGCGGCGTTTTAAAAATGCTGCTATAGGTTCCAAAAACGCCATCAAATCCTTTTGTGACGTTTAGCACCAAACGCCGAAGATGTGGCCGTTGCTATAACTTTATGGCGCTTTAGAAACGTTGCTATATGTCTATATGCGGCGTTTTTAAACGCTGCTAAAAGTTCTCCTAACAGTAACATGACATCACCATGCTATTTAGCGACGTTTTTAAAACGCCGTCGTATATTTTATTCCAAAAAATCCAACTGTTGATTGATATTTAGCGATGTTTTTAGAAACGCTGTGATAGCCTCTCTTTTTTTTTTTTTTTTAATTGTGCTAATTTTATGTGATTAAACTAAAAAAATACTTGTAATAAAATTGAAAAAAAGTACTAATATGAAATAATAACTCCCATTCAAAATGCAACATTAAGTCACTTTTCCACTCAATTTAATATCCAATCACCATTCAATTTAAAACTATTTACAATACAAACTTCAGGGGAGGATTGTGATTTGATCCTGCATGTTTATATATTCAACTTGTTGCGGTTTGACAGACCTGAGAAGCTTTAGTTGTGCAGGTCATAATCACTGTTGATAGACAGATAAAGATGCTTTAAAATTTTGAATTCAAACATTCTATTTCCCTCCTTTGTCATCCTCGATATCATCATTAGCAACCCAACAGGTGAAAGCAAAAAGAAATTCCTTGAAGTTCACCATTCCATTTCTATCACAGTCCATCTCCTCTGCAACAATTAGACAAGACTGAGCAACTCGAACTATATACATTAAAGAAAATGACAACCCAAAATTACTACCAACATTAAAGAAAAAGAGAGCATATGTCAGAAAAAACAAGCACAATGACAACCAAAATTGAGATATTTCATAAGATGACGATGAAATGCATCCGATGCTTAAATTATTTGATTTCGTACTAGAATAACAACATCAGTTACAAGGGGATAAAGTGTTGCCAACTAAACATATCCTTTTCAGAAAACATTACTTCGTATGGGCCAAATTTGAGCACTTTCCAAATTGCTCAAAGTTTTGCTTTGCACTTACCAAATTGCTCAATGATAGCTTTGCACTTTCTTAAGCTCTCATCGATTTTGGGAAACTTTAAGATTATGCTGTTAAATGATTTCATGGAACTTCCTTCAGATGCTCTTCGCTGCATAACTTCAACCATTTTGGCCTTAAGCTTTGTCTCTGTTATATTATCTTTGGGTGCATCACCCGTGCTCAATGCACCTCCTATTGTCAATTAACAAAATAAAATGAGACACAAGATAATACCTGAGGTCTATCTGCCCAATTACATGAGTTGTTAGAAATAAGTATATATAAAAACAATAGCATAGAGCAGATAATGAAGCCTGAGAAGTAAACAGATCAAATTTGTGTAGTGAATATGACAAGTCATAGACAAAACTAACTGAACACCAGAAACATGGTTTAACCTTTAAAGCTTCAAAAACTTTTAAATATGGAGACAAATAAGTTACATTTTGTTCCATAGGCATAGGCAAAGTTTAATTCAGGTCAACAAAAAAATTTAAGCTTTTCTATAGCATTGGGTGCTGGATTTGTGGACATTTTAGATCTTCACCTTCTTGTGAAAAAATCTTATTACTACCAACTTTAAATACTAACTATATGTTTGCATGTACATGATGTTTAATCAAATATTTATACAGTCTTACAAGAATTTATAACACATCTTGCCTAATATTATGATCACAACTTGAATCTTAGAGACCAATTCTCAATGTAGACTTTCTTGATTGCAATTGTTGTTTTTCAAACTAAACTGATACTTGTATATATGAAACACAGAATTAGAAGTTTATTTCCAGTATATGAACCATTATATGTTCTAACCCAATGTATTCCTTCTACATGATTCATTTTCCCCTGTCAAAGACTATATGCTGAGCCCTCAAAATATATATTTCCAAACCCAAGGGAATTTGATAGGTGATATGCTTATTATGTGTCTGTGAATACATCGATGAGAAGCTATAAATTATAACCAAATGCGTGAAGTGGTCATCAGATCAAATGTTTAATATAAATTTGAAGACTTTCCAAACCCAGATCGGTATAAATTTGATCAAATGCTTATTATGTCTTTGTTTTCTTCAAGGAACTTAATTGATTTATAATTTAGTGAAATTGTTGATCAGAATTCATAAGTATAATTCTTTGTATTTCATCTATTGCACGGAGAAAAGAGTAGAAATAGCGGAGCAGAGTAGTGGGAAAGAATAAGTAGAAAAAGGCTATAAGAGAAGTAGGCAAAACCATATTGTTTTTTATTACTCGTCTCACACTTTACTTGTTTAGATCTCAATAACCAAATCGAGAGAGACGAGAAGAAAGAGCTTGAGAGAGAGAGAGAGAAATCAATACCTCGCGGTGAAGCTTCGAAATCGAGAGAGTACTTCAAAATCGAAATCGCTCTGAAACCGATCTGAGAAATCAAGCATAACCTCTCCTGAGATCACTTCCTCTGCGATCGAAACCAACCCTTCTTCTCTCATCGCAATCTCCCAAAGCTTTAGACCTTCAGATCGATATAGCAGAAAACAAAGGATGAATCGAGAGAGAGAGAAAGAGAGAGAGAGAGAGAGAGAGAGAGAGAGTGTGGAGATTCAGAGCTTCTGAAAAATCTAGAAATCCCCTAGATGTTGATTTGTGATTATGTATCAATTTTAAGCAGAATATAACAATCCCAATCAAACAATCAAGACAAAGAGACACAACGATTTTACGTGAAAAAAACCACAATTGGACACCTCTAACTGTGATAAAAAAGCCACGGACAACAGCCACAAAACAATCCACTAAGAAGATTTAAAGGAATTACATAGGTATACTCTCAATTACATAGCGAATCCATGCCTAATTGAACCAACCACTATGTGCCTCTTCCAACCCGTCTTCACCTCGGAATTGTCTTTACGATGAGCCACCCCGGAATCCACCAAAGCTTCAGGCTCGAATTCTTCAGAATCCATCGAAGAACAACTCTCTCTTTTGTATAGCAAACAAAACCTTTGAAGTACTCTCTTTAAACCATGAGTTGAATACTCAATAAAACAATAAAGAAAACTCACAAAGTATCTCCAGATATAAACCCTAGAACCCAAAAAGAAGATCTGGAGTAGCAATACTAAAATCTGACCCAACACGCAAATTTATAGAATCTGTCCCGCGATCTCCGCTCGAGCGCCCAACAGCCCACTCGAGCGTCTTCAGAAAAATATGCGCGTGATATAACAGAGGTCTGCTCAAGCGCTAGAGAACCCGCTCAAGCGCTAGAGAACCCGCTCGAGCGCGAAATCACACAGCTCAGTACTTTTATAGGCAACCAAAACTTCTGGAACTAGGAATTCTCCGCTCGAGCGGGTAATGTCCGCTCGAGCGGACAGGCAACTTGGAATGTATTTTTGCATTTTGCTTCGGGGGACGCTGCCCCTCGACCCCGCCGTGGCGCTGCCCCGGACCCGCCAAGGGGCGCTGCCCCCTGGACCCTCGCGAGCTGACCAGACAGCTCGATCCCCGTCATAATAAGTGAAGTGGCAATCTTGAAAGCATTAGCATCACAAACTTCTCTAAAAGGCACAATTCGGGTTGGATTCGCATCTAAACACTCATAGCCTCACTGAAATAAAAGTGCAAAAATAAATACAACTGAAAGGAGTTTTGTCAAACGGGATTGCCAAGAATAAAACCTAACAGCTTCAAATCGAAATCGCTCTCAAGGGTTTTCAGCGCCTCCTATTTCAAAACGGTGTCGTTTTATTAAAGGAATATGTGTTAAATATTAATAAAAGTGACATTTTAAAAAATGTCATTAAAAAAACGTCGCCTAAACCCATTTTTCCTATAGTGGATGTTTCATTATGGGGAAGAAACACAAAAAATTAAAATAAAAAATAAAAAACTTATCATCATCAGGTAGTAGATAATCTGTTGCCTTTGCCATTTGAGCAGCACATAAAAAATCTATTATTTCATCAATTGAGGCATCTGGACCTGCAATATTTTACAGGCATTGTTAAGAGAAAGATTAAATCTAATGAAATGCGCAACTACAACACACAGGAGGATAGACAAAGTTTAGCAATATCATCCAGCAAAAATAACTAGTTAACAGGACCCAAATGAGTATATACATGACAATCAATATCACAATTCAGTAGCAGATAGAAATGTAAGATGTCCAGTATATTAATTTAAGTTTGACAGGGTTTCAGAGTATAAGAAAGGTGTGGCTATGAACCAAAAAAACCAATTACAATCTTCTCTGGTTCATTATAATAACATGCCTGTGCAATTTGCAAGACACTAGAATATATATATTTTTATTATATGACATATTTGAATATTTCTTTTCATGTCATCGAAGTTACTGCCACCACCAACTCTAGCTCACAATTATTGGAACACACTGATAAAAGCAAAATCATACCACAGAAAAAAATATAGTTAATATGTGCATGCTTGATACAACATACATGCAACTTGCTCAGTAGTTTACAACAACTTACATTAGACAGTTCAACATCTTTGGAGCTGCCCCATGGTCGACACGATACTTGCCATTGACAAGGTTATTAGGTCTTTTGATGACAGGAAAAACTTCAACTCCAATTCTCACCATCCACAAAAATCTAGTAAAGCATGAATAATTTTAGTTAATAAAGAAAGCAGAGGGAAAGCTAGCTCAAGTCTGCTATGTATGAGGACCCAAAAATAAGACGAAGCATATAAACACCTCTAATAGAATTTGGACGACAAAATTGATGCGGTACTAAATGTATATAAATAGAAGCATAGATACTATATTGCATTCAGAAATTATTGTGTTTGTAGTTAGGATAGCCTCCTTACTCGCCTCAATTAAGTGGCCCAGGGCCAAATGACAAATGTATGATGATCCAGTCACCATAAGTGGACTATTGTTATGACCCTAATAAGCAGCCAGCTTATCCAGAAGAAGCATCAAATTGTCTTGCATCTTATTTGCAAATACTCTACAACCTATATACTACAGGCAGGTCTCGTACTTATTTGATACTCTGCAAAGGGATCAAATTTTATACCATCTGTTGATTTATATGGAAACACGATCCCTACCTCAATTGAAACATAAAGAGAAATAGGGATAATTGGTGAATACAAAGTAATTAGGGTAAACATATTTAAAAAAGCAACCTGTAAAAAATGTACTTGGGAGGAGATATATTGGCTTTGATGGTTATTGTGAGAGGGATATGTCTTAGTCAATCAGCTTTAAAGCATCTAAGCAGCATCTCATGCCGTGAAAAGGATTTTTTACCTTTGCCTCTGTTAGGCCCTTTTCTCTAGTTAGATAGATTTTTTTTTTTTTTTTCAGAAATTGACCTATAAGCTTAAAAAGATCTATATCAGTCGCAACTAACAATTATTTTGCTAATTACAGAGGGCGAAAAACAACTAAGACTCACAATAGTCATGGTTGTGGCTATTATAGCAGTGCTACAGTTACCATCTCGATGCCACATGTATTGCTCAAGATCAGGGGGCCTAAAAAAATATCACGTAGGAAACTAAATCTGGACAACTATGTGGGATCCAATTTTTGTTTATGTTTTTAAATTTTAAAACCCTGCACATTGGCCAGAGTGTATTGCTAGTGTGTACATTATGTATGCATGGCTAAAAAACATCAAAATGTGTGTGCCATTTATGTATAAATATCTATAGGAAAGCATATTCGTATTACTTCCAGCTTGAAATATACATTGCAAAACTCCCCCTCCCCCCAATAGAGAGGGCTTAGGCTGATTACAAGAAGATTGTCACACAAAAAAAGAAGAAGCTAACATTCAAATGCTGACTATCCCAAGATGCCATGCATCCTCCCTGCAGGCAATATGCAAAGTAGTAGGAAAAATGAAGAAACCAAATCATTAAAAAATGATACCAAAGATCTCCAAAGTACACCAAAACAAACCAAATCATTAAAAAATGATACCAGAGATCTCCAATGATACCACTTGCCTCTTGTCTCATACCACACACACAGCCACGCAGAGAGAGACAGAGTGCACAGAGATGGCTGCACAGTGGTGAGGTGGTGGTTGGAGTGAAACACAGATGAGAAGAAGATGAAAAATGAATATATATATATATATATAAAAATTTCAAATCTCAAACAACTATTTTTGAATGAGAAATTTCAAATCAGAAACATATATTTTTGAATGAGAAATCTCAAATCTGAAACATGTTTTTTTGAATAAGAAATTTCAAATCTCAAACATTATTTTGAATGAGAAATCTCATATCTAAAACATATGAGAAATCTCATATCTGAAATCTTAAACTTATGTAAACCCTAGGAGAAGAATCGAGGGAAGGAAAAGCTTGAGAGAGAGAGAGAGCATACGAAATTGAGATTATAGACGGTGGTGCTCACCTTAGTCAACGGTGGTGGTGATGGTGGCGGCGGTCGAGCTTCGAAATCGAGAGAGAGAGAACTTCGAAATCGAAAACACTCTGAGATTGGATCTGAGATGAAACCTAGCTGAATAAGGTTGAATCTTAATCTCTGAGACTCAAGGGTTTAGAGAGAGAGAGAGAGAGAGCGATCGAGTGAGTGAGTGAGAGATTTGAGGGATTGGTGAGGGCTTGAAGAGAGTGAGAGAAGGGTTCTGATTCTCACAAAGCTAAGAGAAACACGGAGGAATAACGTTATTGTAATACACGTGAAGGTGTTTAAAAAACGACTTCTATTCTTTAAACGGTACCATTTTAATCAAAATAAAATGCGACGTTTAAAAAATGTCGTTAAAGGTTAGAAACAGTGGTGTTTAAAAAAACATCGCTAAATAAACGCCGTTAAATTCTATATTTCCTGTAGTGTTGGCGAGAGATCTTGGCCAAAACTTAGAGGAACAGAAGATATTTGCGGTCAAAAACCTAGGGTTTTCGGACCTAGGGTAGAGGAAGGAGGAAGGAAATGGAAAATGCAAAGAATGGTCTAGAAATGTGCCTTTAAACTTGCTGAATTCGCACAGTCCGCTCGAGCGTACCTGCTTCCAGCACAGATTGCAAAACTTCAAACGGGCATAACTCTCTCATTCGGTCTCTGTTTTAGGTCGTTCTTGTGTCCAAATCGAAGCCCTGGAAATAAGATTTCCAATGGTTCTAGGCTCACATCCAAATTCAAAGTGTGGAAAAAGAAAAGGGCAAATGAGTGACGGCTGTTCATAGGAAAAATTAGCCGAATTAAATTCTTGGTTCACTCTTACTTTACCATTATGCTACCACTTCGATCAATGTCCCAAAATAAAACAAGGAGGTTCCAAATATTAAATTGAAGTTATTATCATCATCAATTTTTGTTTCGTAAATCACCAAGGCCCTCAATTTCAAATCAAATCCAAAATCCTTGTCAATAAATTTCATATTCAAATTGGATACCTCGAAAATAGATTTAATTCATAATAATCATAATTTCTCAAACCTTATAACATAATTAACTTAATTAGCTCCCAATTGGGTCCGTAATTAAAATTAAATTGATTCAACTTCTTAATTTCGCTTCCTTAAGCCATTTGGACCCTTAAAATAAATTTTCAATAGAATCGTATACGAATCAAATTCCACAATTCTCACAAATCTCAAATTAAATTATGAATCGAAGTGCAGATTTTCTGCTAAAAATTAGGATTCTGGACATCAATGCTTCACCCCTCTGTCACTTTTGCAACTCTAAGCTAGAAACTGCCTCCCATGTACTGCTGCATTGCCATTTCTCTTGGTCAATCTGGTCTGCTATTGTTGAGGAATGGGGACTCCAATGGTGTATCCCTAAGTCAGTAGATGGTCTACTTTCTTGGTGGATGAGTGGGAAATTTAATAAGCTTCTCAGATTAATTTGGAGAGCAACCCCATTAATTGTTATTTGGTCTATTTGGAAAATCAGAAATGAAAGTGTGTTTTCTAATGCACAACCCACCTTTACAGGTCTTCTCGAACTTATCAAATTTAGAGCTGTAGTTTGGCTAAAAGCTTCCATCAAGGACTTCCCTTACTTAGTGGATGATTTTCTCTACAACTGGAGATAGATCAGAGGTGGAAAATAGTGTTTTGGAATCTGTTCTAAAATATCTGGGCTGAATTCTGCTGTGCTGCTGCAACTAAACCATTAGCAGTAAATCCAGACAGCAAAATCACTGCAGCTTATCAGATCAGTGTGTTGGTCTCAACTGGATAGTAGTAGCATTGGTTTTGCTCCTTATGGTTTAGTTGCTGTCCATATTTATCAGATCAGTGTGTTGGTCTCAACTGGATAGTAGTAGCATTGGTTTTGCTCCTTATGGTTTAGTTGCTGTCCATATTTATCAGATCAGTGTGTTGGTCTCAACTGGATAGTAGTAGCATTGGTTTTGCTCCTTATGGTTTAGTTGCTGTCCATATTTATCAGATCAGTGTGTTGGTCTCAACTGGATAGTAGTAGCATTGGTTTTGCTCCTTATGGTTTAGTTGCTGTCCATATTTATCAGATCAGTGTGTTGGTCTCAACTGGATAGTAGTAGCATTGGTTTTGCTCCTTATGGTTTAGTTGCTGTCCATATTTATCAGATCAGTGTGTTGGTCTCAACTGGATAGTAGTAGCATTGGTTTTGCTCCTTATGGTTTAGTTGCTGTCCATATTTATCAGATCAGTGTGTTGGTCTCAACTGGATAGTAGTAGCATTGGTTTTGCTCCTTATGGTTTAGTTGCTGTCCATATTTATCAGATCAGTGTGTTGGTCTCAACTGGATAGTAGTAGCATTGGTTTTGCTCCTTATGGTTTAGTTGCTGTCCATATTTATCAGATCAGTGTGTTGGTCTCAACTGGATAGTAGTAGCATTGGTTTTGCTCCTTAAGTTACCTTTTGGCTAATATGGATTGGACTTTCCGCGACCAATTATTTGGTCGCCAATGGTCCCTTTTAGTGACCAACTATAACTTTGGTTGCAGAAAACTATCTGTGACGAGGCTTTAGTGACCAACTCGTGATTGAACACATTTTGGCCACGAAAAGATTTTAGTGACCAAATATGGTACTTTTTGTGACCAAAACGTTAGTCGCGAAAAGTGTAATTTATTGTAGTGTAATATTTTCTTCCTCTCCTCCCTTATTCGGATATGTAATTATTCAAGTAATGTAGTAATTCCCAGCCCGCTTCTTTTTATCTCGTTCTTTTACTTGCTTTCTTTATTTGTACATAAATGTCATATTTTACTTTTCATCATATCCATGTTTTAAATCAATGTTTCATGTACCATGATTCGGCTAGGTTTGCTTCTTTGGATATAATCAATTCTTATGTGATTATATGTGCTGCCTAATGTTCTTGAGATGATTCACATGCCATATATTAGAAACTGAATCTTTAGTTGCATCTCATGAGTGAATTGCATTCGGATTTTGTATATAAGATCATGCATGTTTTACTTACTTTGTTTTGTAGTTGTTCGCGGTTCGTCGGTAAATATGTAAGTTTTTATGCTTTAGCATCTCGCTTGTATATATTTTCCTTACCATGTTTAGCATCTTTCCATGTGGCTACTTGCTTTCTTGTTATAATTGTATGAATGCTGGTGGATGGAGATTGTGTCACTTAATTTGGAATGATATTGACTTTCATGTTTATAAACTCAATTTCTTTAAGTTGAACATCTTCAAAACTCTTTCACAATATATGAAATCAGATTATTCCAAAATGAATGGTATAGTCTATACTTTCTTGCTTCACGTAGTAAATTTTAGGATTTATTAAATAATCAAAATATGAACATATAAAGTAAATAAAAATCATATCATGGTTTAGTAGAGGCTAATCTTTTGATCGGGTGAGCGGGGAGTGCTCAATTAATGATCTTCCCCCCTCATACCTAAAGTTTCGAGCCAAGCATCCGTGTTTACGACAAACAGTGGCCTTGGCATGAGTCACGATTTTCCTAATTTTTTCAAAATATTAGGTGATGAATCTAAGATTTGATGACGTAGTCTATTTCTGACAAAGATTTTTACAATAAAATAGTTTTTCTATAAAAGTTGCCAAATCTGAACTCTCGTCTATGTTTCATATTGCTCTCGTGAGATTAGATAGAAGAAATCAAGGGTCCGAACTATTCAACGCGCACAAGTACCTCTTGAGCGATGCGACACCCCTACAAATTGTGAACACTATAATTCTAAATTTGCTAAATTTAAGTATTAAAAGTTAAATTAAAAATAATGTGATGCCAGCGACAAAACACATTCAACTTGGAAACCAAATAATGCGACACCGATCGTAGATGATAGAAGGCAAATCAGCGGAGTCATTTTCAAATTTCAAAGAAATTTGGAGAGTATATGAAGCATTTTTTTTCTTTCTAATGTGAAGTTGGTGATATTGTTTGAATAACTCAATAACCTCCAAGGGTGTTTTAGTAACTATAACATCAATGGGATTTATTAGACCATAAGAAAACAATTTGGATTAAGTAAAACATAAATAGGTGAAGAGAGATTTATGAAAAAATACCACTGTAATTTATTCTTTAACTTAAAGCAAGATCTATCTATTTAAGGGGAATGGGTTCAATGAGCAACAAAGTGACACGTTCTTTGTACTTCCCTCCAATATCATGTCCATGGCCATCTCCATGTTGGTACATGAATTGGGAAACCCTAGCGATGTTTGTTACAATCTCAACAAAAGTGTCATTGATAGAAGAGTCCACAACACGAGCTTCATTGATCTTCTTCCATGCCTCACTAATCAAATAGTTTATGTGTTCTTTGGCATCTTTTGCAGAAACACTAGTTTCGTGCATGTAAATTTGGATTGATTTAGAATGTCACCTCGTTTACGTCATCCTAAACAAATCAAGAAAAAAATTGCAGATCAATAGGTGTTAGTAAAGAAAAAGGAATTGCAAGTAACTTTATGAAGTACTTAGGTCGATATAAGAGATATATATTGCTCTAATTAGACTAGAGGATCCAATTTAGGGCAATTTGGACCCATTTCGGGTGCATCTCAGTGATCTGAACCACTTGTTTTTTTATACCTTCCGAGTAGATCATCCACGCAATAAACAAGTTGAACGGAAGTCAGTAGTATTATATTTGGATCACATTTGTCTTTTAAAAAAATGGACTGTCTATTCTCAAAATTATACTTGTCATTCATTTTTTTTTTTTAAAGGGAAACGTGATCCAACCATATGGCTAACAATATCTGATCAATTTGATTTTTTGCATTAATAATCTACTCTACTCAAAAGACACTAAAAATTAAACAGTTCAAATTATAAAGATGGACTCAAAATGGGCCAAAATTACTATAAATTAAACCCTCTAGTCTAATTAGGGAACTAGAAAGAAGCCCAATCCAATTAGCTTCCACACCCATGATGTTCCCAAATCATCTGCAAGTCTTGCAACCATTGATGACCACTTAATTATGTCATCGCACTTTTCTATGCATTCCAACTCCTCGTTGGTTATGGCATTTGTACTTAGAAAATAAGCATGTGTTAGTAATGTAGGAATAAAGGATGAAGTCCATGCATGGTCAAGGTACTCTTCAAGTGTTGGCATGCATCCACTGTAAGACCATCTTGCTTCCTTCATGTAACATTAAGATAAATCTCGCCACTACAACATTTAAAAAAAGGCAAATTATATTCTTTATATTTTCCTCATGTCAATTTGGTCTGTAATTTAAATTGTAT